AGATTGCTAGATCAAGATTTTTTTTTTTAAAAAAAAAATTAAGATGTTTAAAGGAATTATTGTAAAGTAGCTCAGTATATTTCAATATATAAATTTGTTTGACTAAATATGAAAATTAAAAAGAAAAAAGACTACTGAAATTTATTCATAAACATAATATAATATTTGTGTCGTAATTTCAAGAAGGAAAAATTACTTAAATGAATGACTTTTAATAAATATTTACTAATTTTAGCGATAACTTTTTATTTATCACAATTTATAGCAATATTATGTTAAATCTGTAATATGTATTAAAAGTGAATTATGTATGCAATATATATGTATTATAACTATTTTTTAATAATATATTATGGTTGTTTGATAAGAAGTTGACACTGTATTATAAGTGTATTAAAATATGTGATAAAATATATTATCCATCAATAAAACTTGTATTATATGTGAATAATATTTTTTTTTTTTGCAATATGAATGTGTATTATAAATGTATTAAAAGTGATAAAGTGAAAAAAATATATTATTACTATAAATAATTAATGTTTTTTATTTATTGTGTATTTATCTAAATTTCCCTTATAAGATCATCTCATCAAGTTAAAATCAAATTATTTCTAAATAAAGAAAATAATGTCACATAAAGGTGTTTTTTCAACGAATTTAATAAAAAATTTTAATTTAATTCTAAGAATAAAGATTGTTTTGTCAATAAGATAAGGTTATGAAAAGGAAGGTATTGATTCCAAACAATCTTATAAAAAAAGGAGATTTTATATTTGACAATCGAATAATTTAATGCACCAATTTTTTCAATATCTAGTGTCATATTCCAAATTAATTGCTTTTGCTTTATACCTTTTGTTTGCTCATATTTCAAAAAGGAATTTTGGCAAATAAATTATTTCTTTGTTTCGTTTCGATAAGAATCGTCAAGTGATTCCTGAAAGCTTTCAATACACTACTATAAACAACGAAAATTCTAAAGAAAATATCAAATCGATTCTCAATGAGAAAAGGTAAAACATTACATTTTAACAGACAGATGAAAGCTAGGTCAGCACTAGTCTTACATCTTCAGAGGATCAAAGAACTAATATAGGCTTAGGGAACCAGTTATTGGCATGTAAAACCAGTACATCACGATTCACGAACCATACACCTTAACGTGGAGCTAAGTGAGGGTTCGTTGATGAATAACGAATGTGTTAGCTAAATGACTAGTCTGGTTCAGCTCATCAAGCTATTACTGTTGTAACTACTATCAGAGGATCAAAAGTGGCTTAGGGATCCAATTATTGGCGCGTAAATCCAGCAGATCACAAACCATAAACCTTAGACGTGGAGCTAACTGAGGGTTCGTCGAGAGTCTCTTCAAAGAACCAAAGTAAAGATTGTTGATGTTCCTTGAATCTGGTCTCTCATCAACCACCTTTCCGATGTTATTGAACAACAGACAAATGGCCTCAACGTTCTCTTCTGGCGGACAACATTTAGGATTTTGCACCAACAGTTCCTGGTTAACGAAAAACACAAACACAACCTACCATTAGTATAGTTCACAGGACGTTACAGAGTTACTCGATTGATGAACACAAGCAAGAGATAATAACAACCAGAACTATAGAATGAATAATCCATTTGGGGACCATATTGAGCTTAAAAAGCTCTCCGATAAGCCTTATACTGCCAAGAGTACGCGATCTGATAAACTTCTCCTTGTCCATACGTTCTGAATCGTGCTCAGGTGCTATCATTTGCCTCATTTCTTCTCGAAGTTTGTAAGTACCTTCGATTGCCTCTTGACAGTTATTCCATAGAACACATTTGAACGTAGTCGATTCACCACCAGGTTCGTTGCAAAGCAATGAAGGCAGCATTTCATTAAGATCACAACACAGCTGGGCATACAGAGGGCAAAAAGTTGGTTCCAGTACAGCATTGTCGAATACTAAGAAAACAACACCCTGGAGTAAAGATAAAACAACAATTTACTTTTTCTTTTACGAGGAAAATAGAATCTATCGTTAAATCTTTGATAGGTAAAGGGGACGGACAAAAAAAAACTACTATACTACTCTGAAGATCGAGAGATGTATCTGATGTGGGAGTAGAGACCTTTAGAGTGTCTGTACTAGTTATCCCTGAATCTATCAGTTGACGTTTGAGGAGAACAAGTTTCTTCAGAGTCGGGTTGTTGAGCATACTGCAAAACAATAGTAGTTAGTATCACTCCACATTTTCAAATAACGCCATAATAGATTGTAATATTGTTTTGTTGTAGTTTCAGTTTTGTTACTATCTGTAGTTTCTTTGGACTGCTTTTTTCCAGGATCCGAGGGTCTCTCAGAAACAGTTTCTCTAACTTTGACGTAGCAGTAGATTGTGGTCAAGTGACGACACATCAAATGGAAGATTTACATTGTGGTTTAAACGACAGAAACTTCCAGACACGTGTGGCCTAAATGACAGAGAAATTCGACATAGAACTCATGAGCAATGACACGGACGCCTTAGTGCCTAACAGTTAAAGCAACATGAAGTGCCTTCCCTAAGATTCGATAACACAAATTAAGACATTCTAACAATGTAGGGAAGAACGAAAGACGGACAGAAAACCAGAAAGGATTGAACTACAATCAAGTTTGTTTCTTTTGACTTGAATGTAAAAATATTTACCCTTTCACAGTCTTCAAGACACAATTTTTGCTTCTTCGAGCGGTTGAACATGGAAGCTCAGCTTTGATTAGTGTAGAAGCAGCTCCTCCCTGATTCACAAATAAAGGTTTCTGAGATCAACAACTGATGATGCATAATTTCATGTCATACACAATTATTGTCTTAAACTCGAGATAACAAAAAAGCACTTTCGAGTTCTTGCAACCTGTGAGCTAAGTTGTTCTTGCACATCGAATTCATCGACTTCCTGCTTTCTAGAGTAGAATCTGTCACCAAATTCACTGTTTTCTCGAAGAGGGTCCAAGGATCTGTCGTCAACTGGGGCAGAGAACTCCAACTTACTAAGCTGGTCATTGATGTCTGGCTCAGAACGACGACTCTGAGTCTGGTCACCAAACAGTTCGACTTCAATTTCTTGTTTGATTTTAAGAATGTGATCAGAAATGTTAACCACCTAAAAAACACAAGGAAGACACATATCGTAATTGAATTGAATCTCAACAAACAAAGAAAGACGTTATCGAGTAACAAAAAATATATACAACACATACATATTTAACAAAGAGTCCAAGTAAAGAGAGTTGATAATCAAAAACATAGTTGAAGATGAAATACAAAATCCGAAACACGAAACAGAATGGTGGAATAATGATCAAGAATTTGACAGATGATATAAACAGACTCCAGAATAATTTGTTCATTAGCACCATATTGTAAAATCCTGTAGGTGTTAATCTTTGCAAAACACTTAAATAAATCACAGTCACAACTCTCTATTGAGCATTTCTGATGAGATATAAATATAAAGAAAGTGAAAGGTTTTGTTTCTGCTTTGAACTCTTAAACATCAATGATTAGCATTTACTTCAAATTCACCTTGAAAAATGAAAAGACAAACATTTTTCATATTTCATATGTTTCTTTTCTCTCCGTTTCATATTACTTGGCACATGTTGACATCTTCAAATGCGTGTAAATTCAACTACTTACTTCCTCCGTCTCAAAATAAGTGTGTTTTGGCTCACTTAACGCCTTTTAGAAACACAAGGAACAGGTGAGCAATTAATTCGTTCAAAATCTAAACAGTAAAGGGCTAATTGATTTACTTTAGATGTGCCGTGAGATATTAATATTAAGAGGCTGTTTGGTTACTAGTTAGAGATATGTACGTATTAGTAGTATGGGAATTAATTACGTAGGTATGAGTAATGCATAAATTAATTATGAAAGTATATTAGTACTATAGAGGTTAGTTATAAGATTAGTTTGAGTGCTGGAAGTAAATAACAAGAATATAAAACACATGAGTTTTTACGTGAAAACCTCCTTGCATAAGGGAGTAAAATCACGACTTGCCACACGTGATTTTCAACTGATTTCAAGCAACGCATCAATTGCCCACTATATCAACTATTTCTAATCAATATAGACTTCAAAAGTAAGACACACGGTTAACTCTAACAATGCGCTTACAAAGATTCACACAGTAAACATATACAAGCTGCAGGCAAAATCGTTAGGAATTCAAGGCCATGGGCCACACAGTACTTGAGAAGACAAAAGCATACCAAACAGGGAAAAGTAGATAATAATATTAGATCACAGTACTGGCCACAGAGTCCAGTCAAAACACTACATTTAAACAACAGACCTTTTTAGGACGGAAGGGGACGAGGAGAGGACTGCAACACAAAAGTCAGGCGAGAATTAGCATCAACGTGTGCCTGAATGAGTTGCTTGTTGAGAGATTTGACTTCCTCGTTGAGTGAGACATTTGACTCAAGCAGCTGCGCAAATTCAGCCCTCATCTTTTCAACTTCCTCCTTATTATCAGAACTAGTACCGGTCCTCGAGAGATAGCCTGTTGAAGCTGGGCCTTAAGTCTAGCAATTTCAACATCCTTTCCACTCAAGGTAGTCGTGAAATCATCCAACTCGCGATTGAGAGTTTCCTGTTTCTCGAGGAGTTTGGAGGCATGAGACTTGGCATTATATTACGAATTAGCAAAAAGAGCCGGATAGATGTACTAACAGATATTATTAAAAATCCGATATGTTATGGCTGTTGTATATAATTATCAGGTACTTACATGGTATCAGCTTCAACTTCTAGTTTGAGTTTAAGAATATTGTTCCTCAGTTGCAGCAACTGATCTCGGGTATACCTAACACGTTCACAGCCCTCAAAACGAGAGTCTCCAGTAGTCTACAATGATAAAGAATAGTCAAGACACATATCATAAAGAAAGTTCCTATCAAATTACAACGATTAAGAAAGAAGAAGGCATATCCATTTTACTACAAATACTCACCTTGGTATCTACATGATGTCGACTAGCATTTTCACCAAACAGTTCAGCTTCAACTTCTTGTTCTTAAAATGTTAACCACCTAAAAAAACATTAAGGATAAACAAACTGAATCGAACGATGAAAGGATAGTATAGACACATGTAATAGAATTGAATCCCAATAAACAAAGAAAGGTGTTATCGAGTAATACTGAACATAAACAAGCATCAAGAACACATACATATTTAACAAAGTGTCCAAGTAAAGAGAGTTGATAATCAAAAACATACTTGAACATGAAATGCAAAATCCGAAACTCGAAACAGAACACGCTTGAACGTGATCACTTTTCCACCAGGTTCATCACAAGGAAATGAAGGTATCTTTTCATTGAGATCATCTTGGGCATATGTTTATCAGACATCTTGGGCATTTAGGAGCCATTTTATAGGAATTTGGTGATTTTCTCAGTTTTCCATATGAGTTAGTCCATAAATATTTTGGTATGCAAAATCATTACAAAACCCTCTATAGGGAGTTGTGAGAGCAGTACATGAAGCCTCACAATTTTTTATACATATTTTGGCCATCAAGGCTCATATTACCTTCAAAATTGGCCGTTTTGACCTGGCCAATTGGCTCCATAGCTATTGTCTTAATGGACGTCCACAAAAATATTGGACAAAAAAGACATCAGAATTATTGATCACAAAAAAAAACCATGGATTATAGCACACGAAAATCGGCAAAATGAGGGTTTACCTCCTCAAGGGCTTGTTTGACCTTCAAAAAAGTTTGTTTTGATTGCCAGGGACAACTGAGACGTCCACAAAAAATTTGGACAAAACAATCGTCATAATTCTGGATTACCAAAAATCCATGGATATAGTACATGAAATTCGGTAAATTGAGGGGTTTAACTACTTTGGGGCTCGTTTTGACCTTCAAAATGGGTTGGGCTGTCCGTGAGGCACAACCGGCTACATAGCCAAGGTCTTGACAGATGTCCACAAAAATTTTTGGCATTTTTGACGTCGAAAATCGAATAACCCAAAAAATGGTTTGCTATAGCACACGAGAATCATCGAGATGGGGGTATGCGCGCTTCGGATCTTGTTTGACCTTTAAAATTGGTCGTAATGGCAGTGAAGGTAAACCAGATGAATGCCAAGGTCTTGACGGATGTCCACAAAATTTTTTGGCATTTTTGACGTCGAAATCCAGATCACCCAAAAAATGGTTTGTTATAACAAACGAAAATTGTCTAAATGTGGCATATGCGCGCTTCGGGGCTCGTTTCACCTTGAAAATGGTTGGATTGTCTGTGATGGCCAACCGGCTGCACAGACAAGGTCTTGAAGGACCTCCACAAAAAATTGTGGCATTTTTGACGTCGGAATCTGGATCACCCAAAAAAATTGTTTACTATAGCACACAAAAATCGTTGAAATAGGGGTATGCGCGCTTCGGGGCTTGTTTGACCTTCAAAATAGGTTGAACTGGCCGTGAAGGACAACCGGCTGCATAGCCAAGGTCTTGACGGACGTCCACAAAAAAGTTTGGCATTTTTTGACGTCGGAATCCAGATAACCCAAAAAATGGTTTGCTATTGCACACGAAAATCGTCGAGATGGGGGTATGCGCTCTTCGGGGCTTTTTTGACCTTTAAATGGGTCAGAATGGGTATGCGCTCTTATTATACTCTCAATTAATTATTTTGAAAACGATAAAACTTCTTGGAAATTTTAAGTTTTTAATTCATCTACTTCATAATTAATATGGTAAAATGATAAACTCAATCTGTCAATCATTGTTTTCTTAATAGGTGTGCCAATTCAAAAATGGACAAGGAAAAGATGGAGTAAGAATTAGGCGATTTTCTCAGTTTTGTGTGTATTAGCCCATGAATATTTTGATGATATTGCTTCCGGAAGTTTATTTTTGCAAAACCTTTATAGAACCTTCCATAGGGCAGTGGGTGGACCAGTACGCGAAGTCTTACCATTTCTAAGTACACATATTTTGAGCATTTAGGAGTTCATTCTATAGAAATTTGGCGATTTCCTTAAATTTTCATGTGTGTTAGCCCATGAGTGTTTCGGAGATTTTGCTTCCGGATGATTATTTTGCAAAATTGGGGGAGCATTACGTGAATCCTCACCATTTTATACACACATATTTTAGGCATTTAATAGTCATTTTATAAATATAGGCAACACTGTATAACCCTTCGTAGGGAGTTGGGGGAGCAGTACTTGAAGTCTCACCATTTATTAGATGATTTTCTTAGTTTTTTTTTTGTATATTAGCCTATAAATATCTTGGTGATATTAATTTCGAATTATATAGAGAATGAGTTTAATTTAATAGTTTAAAAAATTAATGGACTACATAACAGAAAACTAGGTGGGGGATAAAATCAGATATAAGATTGTATTAAAACTTAATTAAAAATGCTAACAGTAAGATTGGGCATTAGGCTATAGATGATTTCTACCTGCATGATTCAAACGGTTAATTATTAGCAAATATTTATTTGTTTTATTATATTGTCATCTATTAAATTAAGAAGAGAAAAGACATAATGTGACACCTGAAAGTGTCTCGAATTTTCGAAAAGACACTCTAACTATGCGGACGTTCTATTACCCCACAAAAGTATTCATTACATTGTAAAAGGATCATTTCGACACGTTTTCTCATCAATCCAAGAATTTTAATAGGCAAGTGACGCTCACCCTCCATTAAATTAGTTAATCTAATTTAAACATTAATAAAGCACAGGTTGTTGCTATGTGGATTTCCTTTGCCGGAAATCGACGACATAAGGGCTTGGGTTGTTGCTTCTTATCTCCGAGCTTGCAATGATGATTCATGGGATTTCCTTAGAACCTCTTGGGTTGATAATTTTAGTTTCTTGTGAGCTGATTTATCTCTGATTTTTGGAGCACGCTTTCCCTTTTGGGATTCAACCATTTTTGTCGCCGTTGCCGCCATTGTTGTTAAAAGTTGAGCTTCGTTCTATAGGTTCGGGTTAGTTTGCAGCACTTTTGCAAAATGAAGTAATATACGACATTGATTATTCTCGTCATTACAAATACGAATCAGCATTTGATATTATAAAAAATATGGAGTATAAACTTTTGATTCTCATTCTTTTCGCCTTTTCCCCGTTGGCTCATAGATTTCAAATTTTTTGTATTCCAAAAATAAAGAGATTAGATTTTTTTAACACCCAAGGAATATGAAAAAAAAAAGTCAATTTTCTTCTATTCAAATTATAAAAGGTCATTACAGATCAACTTCTAACCAAAGTTTCAAATCATTATTTTTATTCCAATAATACAGCTACACTATTTAATAATAGCATATTTGCCTAAAAGCAGAGGCAATGAAAGGGAAGCAGCTGACTTATAATACCATTTGCTAATTAAAAAGAGAGAAATTGCAACATGTATTACAACTTACACGTCAAAAGCAACATTGCCATCGATGCCTTTGAATATAAAGCCACTTTGTCCTAAAGCAAAAAAGAAGGATAGCTAAGCAAATCCGTTCAAGCTCAAGGCCTAAGATACACTAGTAGATATTTTTGGAGGATACAGTAGAAAGAACTCAACATTATATGGTCCTAACAAGTTAAAAGATAGCACAAGACGGATGACCGGGAGAAGAACCAAGATTATGTCGTCAAGCAAGTTGGCCTTCACCATATTTCTGCTCTAGCATGGCTACTAGAGCAAGAAGAAACTAAACGAAAGGAGATAAAACAGAGGTGAATACACTTGCAATGAAGATATTTGTTTTCCCATAGCCAATGATGATCTTGATCTTTGACGAGAACTCACATTTGGAGTAATAGGAACGATTCGTGCTCTCCTTTTAATCTGGACGTTAATATCTTCAGTTTTTGGGCAACACGTTTGCCCCTCCTGCAGTGGCAGAGTTTGGCTTGGAGGCCTGAAAGTGGATGGCGGAATATCAGTAGAAGCTGAGGTTTTGCAGTATTGGGATGATAAAAGAGTTGCTAATAATGAGAGAACCAGTATGGTTTTGGCTTGAATCATGTCTAGTAAGCAAGAATTAGATAGAGAGATGATATACAATGTAGTAGCTAGGAGCAAGTTTGGTTAGATGGAAGTCGGGAAGGAAACTATATATCTAGCAAAAAGCAGAAGTGTGTCCAATACAATACACCTTTTTTGCATCTTTCAAATATAAAACGAACTTTTTGGTATTAGTAATCCATCCTAAAGGGGAAAAAAAAAGTTTCAAGGGCTGAGTAATCACCCTTCAAATGTAGTTTGAAAGATGAACATGGTGGGGACAAGGAACAACTCTAAAGATGGAAAAGACAATGGGTAGTACTAGAATAGGAATTCTTTGTTTATAAGTAAACTAATCTGATTCAGATTCCCACCACACTCAATATCACAAAGAAAAGTGAAGAAGATGAGAAAAGAACATGTCTGGAATTAACTACGAAGAGCTAGAAGTCAAGCCGTCCAACAACCTCATTTATGCAAGATCTTAACTACGACGATAAGGAATATGAAAAATAGTGATGCCACGGGAAGTCAAAGATTTATTTAAGCCGACAATTTGGTGGAACAAATTTCAACCAGGAATCTGGTTCAACAAAAAGAGATGTGGGATATTTTTCCAACTTTCGACACATGATGCTGTGCTAATGTCATGTAGATTTTGTTCAATAGGTGGATTTCACCATTTACATGTTTCATCTTTTCACATTTGAAGAGCATCTTTCACTTTAAAAGAACTTTGATCTTTGATGCTCTGGGAATTAATTAATTAATTAAGAACTCTTGACTTTTAATAACAAAGCATTTTCTACGACACACCTGAATTTTCTATGCACAAGAAAAGAAGATTTGGGTTGAAAGCAAGTTACTTACAGTTCACAAGGAAAAAGCTGCATGCCAGTGCTTAGCTAAACAAGTTCTCAAGAATCTGTGGGCTAAGCTTTTGCAGAAATGACAACTGTCTCACTTGCTTGGCCACAACTCCGATTACGCGATCTATGTACAGTACATAAAGAGAATTCCTGTTTTCTAGTAGTTCCAACGCTTTTCTTCCGTGGAGGATTGATACAACCCATTCCTCAAAAAGCCCTACAGAGTAAATACAAACATATGGATATATATGTCAGATTCATTTCCATCATTAACAGTATTAAATATAACCTTCACCAGATAGGTTAATTGTGGGAGCCTGCTAATTATCCTTGTAGGCATATCTTACATGCAGTATGTTTAGGGCCTATAGCCTAGAGATTTGAATTTTACTCTGCCAGAGGCAGAACTAACTTGGACCCCAGGGGAGGAGTGGAAACAGATTATAAAGATCAAGTGATCAAAAGAAGCTCACTCAAGTCAAAATCCCCTGTGTTTGACCAGATTAACAAATAATCTGAAACCAGAAATTCAAAAAGCTGAATCCTGCAATTAAGAAAGTATAATTTTAATCTCATTTGCTGTTACAGTTTCAAGAAAATCATGGAAATATAAAGTGAAGTATGGGTGCAGAAAAGAGCAAATACAAGGCAGTAAACTGTATGCCAAATTATTCCAACAGCCCCTTACAAACAGAAAATCTCGCAAGCTTAAGCTATGGTTCCAAATGTCAAGTTTAAACATAATTGTTATGATAAATTTTGAGGTGAATGGACATCCCCAATTTAACTAACTAATCTAGCAATTCAGGCAGAATACAGTACTTCGTTAATGTAAAAAACGGAACATATTTTGGATCTGAAGCAGGCACAGCCTCTACAATTAGGAGAGACTGACAAGCTGCATAGCCAGGGCACCTCTGATCACTTAATAATTCCAGTGTTCTAAACAATGAATAGTATACACAAAAAAGGGGGGCAATACCAAGTAATCCTGCAGCTTAAACAACCATTTACAATAAATAAGATAGTCAAGATGATCACACAATACAGTAGCAATCACTCGACTTGAGAATACTAGAAAGAATAAATAAGTATACAACATGTATGGGTTTGACTCCCATTGCCCCCGTCTCCCTTCCCTTCCCCTTCTGTGGCCATCTATTATGTGATAAGAAAGTTAAAAAAAATACTAAAAGAAGCATAAAAGAATAATTAATTTAGATAAAGATAAGAAACTATATACAAGCTGGTCGGACTTACATCATGTACATAGAGTTATGCATACTTGGAAAGGCATCATCAAATGGATCCATGAATAGCAAACTTTCTGCCATTGCAGAAATTCTTTGTGAAACTGCAAATATTATACGTTGGCCGACAAAAGCCTCATTTCCGACCTTACGCATCAAATGTTGAATATAGAACTGAACAGCATTGTCAAAGTGATGAGATTCTGAAACATATCATTAAGGAATCAAGAGTTAAGAAGCTATGTAGAAGGAAATTTAAGTAAGTTACATTGAGGAATTTAATAGTTGTGTGAAAAACAATCTCTTTTTTTTTCTGCTGGAAAATTATCAAGGTGTCTTTCTACAGTAAGCGGATAGTTTCATCACAAATATTGCTTGCCTCCATCCAAATTTATGATACTATATTTATTTTTGACATATCCAAAAACTTTCAACACCGTTCTACCAATAATATCTTTTATACAACTTCCATAAATTTAACAATTCAGATTTGTTTAACGGTTTGAGCACTACTTTACTATTTTATTGGTACTACTTATAACTTGCAAGTCGAATTAACATGTTTAACTTAGATCCTATCCAATAATGATCCATAAATGGGAAGACCGGAGTATAATAAACCAAACATCCACTTATTATATGAAATTAATTTGTTTCCATTAAATACGTATCAAACCAAAGACTTTTGTCAGTATCATGCTGCAACTATTTCTTCGTTCTGTACATGCATATATTGGTACATGTCTACCAAAATATTTTTAGTGCCTGCTGCCAGAATCTCGGAGCTCAATTAAGAACATTCCGTTCTGCTGAGAATGTTTACATTTCAAGTCTGATTTCTCTGACTCATAACCGTCATGGAAGTCCATAGAAATGAAGACCTGACTGGTCCACATTACATCAAGAAGCTATTCTCTTCCTCAATCTAAACACTACATCTACTTCTACAGCCTACATGCACGCAAGGATTGACAAGTTCTCCGCATACAACATTAAGCAGTGTAACTGATTAACATGCTTATACTACCATTACTAAAGGTATGTAATATATACTTCCGTAATCTGCCAGTTGAAAATAGTCTTAGAAAACCTAGTATGAATAACAACAAGAGCACATAGTTACCATCTCCTTGCAAGGCACTGCACATTCTTCTCAATAAACGCATGATTAAACTGTTGATAATGCCTTCCACGGGTTCTCTATTCCTTTCGGTTGGTGACATTGTAGCCAGTGTACCTTAGAAGTGGAAAAATAAGAATGCTGCTGACTTTGGAAGTCATTAGGGAAAAAAGACTAGATAGTAATCGATGAACCCATCTGGTGCTTGCTACCTTAATATACAACTGAAATCTCAAAAATTAAGGCATTCTATGCAGTGAAATGGTTCAGTACTTGCATAACAAGGTGTTGACAAAGAAGGCTAAATGGTGAACCTTTTGCATTTTCAAGTAAAAATTAGAAAGCTTCATTCAAAATAGCAGTACGAACCATGAAGATGGTTCTCAAAGTGAAGTCCTTTGGAGCAATCTTTCCATGAACACCCAAATCCAGAATGAAGCTTCAGTAGACAATCCTTTTTTCATTTAAGTTTCAGAACAGATAATACATGCACTTACTAACCCCTTGAATACAGCTTGTATCACAATCCTCGACACTAGAGATTAGAAAATAACAGTTCATCTGTGATATGATTAATCGTTGGCATATTACAAATAAAAAAGCATATCAGGAATTCAAGTTTAAAATTTTCAGATGTTGCTTATGAAAAAACTGTACACAGGAAGGCAAAGGAAATGAAAATATTGTGTCATTACCAATAATAAAGTCCACAGCTTGGTGGCACCAGTTCTTAAAATTACCCTCCTCCAACTGTTACAGATTTAGAACAATAGCAAGTGAAAAGATACATGGAAATCATATTCATAACATAAGACAAAGCATCACTAGCTTGGGTTAATAGAAACAACATACGCTGTGAAGAGAAATAGTGTCACAAAGTTCCAAAAGAAAATCAACTGAAGCGCTCAGTTGCTCAATATTATTATCATTGTCACAATCTGCCATTTAAGAAAAAGACATAATCTTCATACTTCTCATCTATAGCTGAAAATTCATGTTCAGACAAATGCAAATAGGACCTAGTTTTTTCCAGAGATCAAAGTACAGCACACGTAGTAAATGAGAGCATGGCTGAGGTATGATAAGATCTCAACTCAATGTAACTTTTAAAAATCATGAGACTTTGCAAGTTAACCACCAAAAGTAAAGACAAAATTAGATCCATAAGAAGATCTCTAACTGAACTTTCACCTGAAATTCGGTGAAGCAAAGAATCATCTGGCCTTCTCCTCTTTCTCTCCTTAATCCTCACTGGAAAAATATACAAGTAAATGAATACAGCTAATGTATATGAAGGCCGAATTGACAACTTTAGACCAATAAATACAACAGCATTCAAAAAAATGCCAAACCTTGTCTAAGAAATCTTCTCCGCAACACATCACTGAACCGTTGGTCAGAACCAGCTCCAATTTTCTTAGGACTCAATAATCCCAACTTATCAAAGAAATAACACTTGCATGATGCATTTTTTGGAAATATATCACACTGTGAACCATCTTACTCCAGGGGGAAAAAAAGTAAAAATAATCAAAACAAAATAGCCGATCAATGTGAATCTACCTATACAAACAACACATTAGTAAATCAAAATCAAACACACAACAAAAAATCCTCAGTTTATCCTTCTTATCATTCAATTTTGATTAATATACATAGCAAGATGATCAAAAATGTAAAACCTAGATGGTCATAACTACACATTGTTATTTTCCAATCGAATTGGATCACATAATAACAGATCCTAACGAAATTGCGGTGATCATCAAAAATTTCAATTTAAGCCTTTAAAATAGCAATAAACTTAAAAAATCTAGCTTAAACTATAACGAAAATTTTAAATACTAACCTTCGGCTACTTTGAGATCCTCCTTGAGCCTGAGAATTTCTCGTTTACGCTCTTTTGCCTGAAAATGAAAGTTAATTAACTGATAATAGAAATAGGAAAACGAAGGAATTAAAGGAAATTGATCGAACTTTTTGTTTCCATTTAACAGCATCATCGGAATGAGAAAGAGGCGGGCAGGAAGAAGGCGGAACCGGTGTTGCTGCCGGCGGTTTGTGAAGAAGCTTTGATCGGACGAGTGCCATTGCGATGGCGAGTTTGAACGATTCATCGGAGTGGCTCTTCGGTTGCTCTCTCAAAATCTCCATTTCTCTCACACTGTGGTTAATGGCGGGACTCGCGTGAGTTTTTGGGTTTTGTACTAAAAAGTCTTTTTAGTATAATACGTTTGCTTAGTTACATAATAGTTCAATGTTTTCATAGATCATATTTAAACGAAATTTAAATTCTAATTCATTTTAGAGTAACTTCACATGTGATTTGAACGTTTAATTCATTTTGAAAAAAATGTAATAATTTATAAATGACTAAATTTTAAGTACATACGGACGTTATTCACGCACAAAATAGTCAAATTGATCATATTTCTCTAAAGTACAAGTAAAAGTAACTGAAGCACTTGTGTCTTGAGTAAAACGAATATTCATAGTACAATAATTGGAGTATTTATTTATGCACTTCGATCGTTAAATATGGTGGCTCTATTTGAGAAAATAATTCCAGCATAAATTTTAACATACAAAAATAATACAAGTATTTAGTTGAACGAGTTGAAAATTATAATATTATATATTAATATAGGTGTTGGTGAATCATATAGGAGAAAATGATACTGCATAACCAATGCATTATTTGGTTATCGACATTAAATTGTACTCATATTAAAGGAGCACAACAAGGACAACTTGATCCTACTTATGAATCTCCTTTGGCTAACTACGATGGAATAAAATTACGATATATCAAATAGAGCGAAATCAGTCAAGTAATAGCCCCAAAGGACTTTTGAGTGTGAGCTTACACACCTAAAAACTCAGTGAAATCCTACGAGGTAGGAAGAGGGTGGTGTACCGCGAGATAGAGAGTTTGGCTAACTACGATGGAATAAACAAACGATATATCAAATAGAGCATGGCTAACTACGATGGAATAAAATTACGTTATATCAAATAAAGCGGAATCAGTCAAGTAATAGCTCCAAAAGACTTTTGAGTGCGAGCTTACACACCTAAAAACCTCAGTGAGGTAGGAAGAGAGTGGTGTACCGCAAGATAGAGAGTTTGGCTAGCTACGATGGAAAAAACAAACGATATATCAAATAGAGCAGAATCAATCAAGTAATAGCTCCAAAAGGACTTTTGAGTGTTAGCTACACACCAAAAACTCAGTGAAATCCTACGAGATAAGAAGAGGGTGGCATACCATGAGATAGAGAAGTTGATTTCGAGTGTATAGAATACTGATGGAAGCAAAGATGGAGCACAACTTGAAGAACCCTTTTGAGTCACAACATACTTCTCAAAAGACAAAACCAAAAACATAGCAAATTTATACATATACAAAAACAAAAAAGCACCAGCAGAAGATAAAAACTTAAATTGTGTCTGAATTTTCCTTCAAAAATGGTATATAAAGGCTCAAGGAGTTGAAGTATGAACTCAACAGATTTGACAAAACTTTTAATCCATCTAGTCAAAAAGAGAGGAGATAAACAAATAACTAATGAAATACAAAATGAGGGCCTCTTTGCCTAGAGCAAATATCAAGTACACAATTGACCATCCTCAAAAGGCAAAATCTTTCTTTCAACATACTACTACCTTGGGGGGAAAAAAAAATACAACTCACTTAAAAATCAACCTGCTCTCGACCATCCTGCGGTTCAGTTGCTCTTCACTCCATTGGACATCAACAAGAAATGCTGAAAAGTAGTTTTGAGTATATTCCATCTACTGAGGTTACAAAAAATCGATCTTCTCAAAGAGTTGATCGAGCTTTTTATTGAAAGAGAGCTTTGCATGCCTCAACATCGGACGATTGAGAATCCAACACTGCTTGGCCTGTAGGACTAGAGCTAATAGATCCCATTGTAGCTGTGAATACGTCTTTCTGGTATAGATCATCAGTTACCTTCTTCAAGATCTCATTGACCACCTTGAAGTCAAAAGCTCCAGCCAAAACTAGTCTAGCAATTATGTCACCAAAATTTACCGGTGCTTTTGGTAGATCCATGGCAAGGTCGTCCAGCAGAGAAGAAAAGTTCAAGAATCCAGTGACCAAGTCCCTGGCGGTAAAAACCTTCTTAACAAACAAGTGCTCAAGAAGCTGTGCAACTGGTTCAACACGTGGTGGGCTTTTGTCTAGACCAATTGATATTGCTTCTTTGACAACCTCAGGATGATAGGCTGGGGACTTGAGCTCCTCAACACATTGCAAAGCTTCTTCCAGAAGCCTAACACTGAAATATTCCTCAAGAAGAGATGCTGTTTTTCTCTTTAGTACATCAGGTGTCAAACTTGCAGCAGGAGCCTGGGGTTTTGCAACAACTGGAGAAACAACAGTTGTTGGTGGTCTAACCTGTGCTGCAGGGTCCATGCCAAAACCATAGCCCGTAGGGCGAGCAGGAGGAGCACCACTACCTTGCAAGAGGGCACTAGGCCTGCCACTCACGTAACCACCACTACCCTGAGGCAGAAGTCTTGGGTTCAACGCGGGAGACTTGCCAACCAATGGTGGCTGACTTCGTCCACCAGCCTGAACCAGTGGTCCATTACCTCTCGGCATAGAGCGGGATCTAGGAACTTCCCAGTTGTCATTATCCATCCCAGGTGTACCAGGCATCTTCCTAGTTCCGGGCATTCCAGGCATCATACCACCAGTGCCTGGCCGATTGATAGGGAAACCACCAGGACTCAAACTCCCTTGAGCCGGAGGACCACGAGAATTTCTCATGCTTGCAGTGGCACCAGGACGCAAACCCAATGTCTTTTCTGCTTCAGAATGAATCTCCGTGATGGTTTTTGCTTTCACCTGTGCAAAAAGGAAAGAACATTAAACCATAAGAGAGTACTCTAGGGAACGAATAGGCAACAAATCCAAGATCGAAAGAATGAATAAGGTGTCACCTCTTCCCGCCTAGGAACCCAGCTATTGGAACGTAAGTCCAGCACATTACGAACCATAAACCGCAGTCGGGGAGCCAACTGGGGGTTCGTTGATAGTTCCTTCAACCGGTTAAAGTACATATCGTTGATGCGCCTTGATTTTTGGTTCTCATCAAGCTGCTTGCCAATGGTGTTGAAGAACTGACAAATGGCTTCAACGTTCTCTTCCTCTGGACAGATTTTGGGATCTTGTCCTAATAATTCCTGTTAACAAATGAACAAATACATTCATTGGTACAGTTTAATGCATTAAAGACAGCATCACTATGTAACAAAAAGACCTGAGCAAAAGGAAAAATTACCAACCTGAACAATGTGGTGAACAATCTTTTCCGGGACCATCTTTTGCTTCAAAAGCTCACCAATAAGCTTAATATTGCCAAGAGTCCGCAATTTGATCAACCTTTCTTTGTCCTTGCGTTCCGACTCCTGATCAGGGGCTGTCATTTGCCTCGCCTCTTCTCGCAGTTTGTGAGCACCTTCAAATGCCTCCTGACAGTTATTCAACAGAATGCGCTTGAATGTGATCTCTTTGCCACCAGGTTCATCAGAGGGAAATGGAGGCAGCTTTTCATTGAGATCAGAACACAGTTGGGCATACATCGGGCAAAATGTTGGTTCCAGCACAGCCTTGTCAAATATCAAGGAAATAACACCCTGAAAGTGAAGATAGAACACATTAAATTTCCAAGGTAAGGAAAAATGTGAGGTGAACACTGAAAAGCACAACTAAAAAGGAGGTATGCCAGAGAAAGGAAGACAAACCTTTAGGATGTCTGCACTTGTTATCCCTGAATCTATCAGTTGACCTTTGAGGAGATCAAACTTCTCTGGAGTCAGCTTGTTGAGGATACTGTAATCAATATTGATTAAGATTAATCCATGCGTTCAACTAATGCCACATGTAGTAGTCTCATGTGCAAGTGAAAACATATAAATGGGAGTTTTATATTGTGTAGGTAGATATACAGACATCTAACAAAATACAATAAAGCAGTGAACAGGGGAAATCAAGAGATGGAAAGGGATACAGAGAGAGGTAATAAACAACAATTATGCATTTAAGAAAAAATTACCCCTTCACAGTCTTCAAGACACGATCTACGTCAGAAAGATTGCCTCTTCGAACTGACCACGGTAGCTCAGCTTTGACAAGTGTAGGAGCAGGTCCTCCCTAATTCACAGATAAAAATTAAGGTTTCTGAGGTCAAGAACTGAAAATAGCTTCATATGACAGAGAAAAAATGGAAATAAATTACGTGAAGAAAAATAGACATTTCCTCTGATAAACTAGCTGCCTTTCAGAATTGTCATCATAATTGAATGAACAAACAATATCACTGTAACCCCTTAGACCTAATTTTATATTACTACAGCCCAATTACTGGAGTTCCTGATCCACCACTAAATTTTAGCAAGGTATTGTATAATGATTAACTTAACAGCTTCTCTTCATTTCTCAACTCGCATTTTCAGGGGGACTTAAGAATGTGTTGAAAAGGTGTCTTAGCAAAACTGCCAGATTGTTTCCTAGCAGAGGTTTCTTAAGATAGATACTGGATGTTCTGGAAATAATACACAAGGCAATAGATTAAGAATTACCCCTAGGTTGGGAGATATTTGAGTTCTTGCAAACTGTGAATTAAGCTGTTCCTGCCGGCCACCAAATTCTCTGTTTTCTCGTAGAGCGTCCCATGATCTGTCCTCTGTGGGGGCAGAAAATTGTGATGACTTGCTACGCCAGTCACGGGAATCTGGCTCAGAATAACGAGTCTGAGATTGGACCTGCACCTGCATATACATAAATGAGACAACTTGTGGCAACAGAAATTCATAGTGTAAGTAACTTGAAGTACAGCATTCCCTCTCTGTTCCCTTTGTGCAGGAGCAGTCATGTTGTGAGTAGGTGGGTTCCTGACATCACAAAAATCATAAAGGGGAAGGAAGTACAACTATCTAAACAGATACTCACATTAGTGTCTGCACGGCTTCGACTGCCATCTTCACCAAACAATTCAGATTCAACTTCTTGTTTGATTAGAAGGATATCATCAGAAATGGCAACCACCTACACACAAACAATCAACCCAATGAAAAACCATTAGGAGAAAGAAATTCAGGTTGACATACGCATAAGCCAAAAACTTTAAAATAGCACTCTTACCTCCCTCAGTTGCAGCAGCTGATCTCGAGTATACCTAACACGCT